TATTAAACAAATATTTCTAAGCTATGAAATTGCAACTGCTCTATGCTTCCCACTTCAGCCAGAAGGACAAAGTACCACAGGGAATTTTTCACGAGAGGACGTTAAGACACAACAACAGGATGTGCTCCACAATACGGGTGGGCTTTTGACAACGTGTGAGTAACCAAATGCAAGGACAGTTGGAGGCAATTATTACATGTAAGGTGATCACAACAATGTAAGACAAATAATACTAATATTTCATATTAAATCCTTAAAGCCATATCCTGCTTTCACTTCCTACAGCTCTTCCTCCTGTTCTCTGACTTTTAACACCTACAGGATACAACACTTGGGCAGTACAAGAAAGGGGGACAAGAGAGACAGAACAAGCAGAAAGGTGAGACACAGAGGAAAGGGGAATGAGATGTGAAGAAACAGCCAAGAGGTAAAAACAACAGGGATTTAAACTTAAAAAAAAAAAGAATTGGAAAGTAGAAACTCTTAAAATAATAAAAATAAAGATGTTTATTTTCAATGCATGTTATTTTCCAGAATGTGTATAATCTCAGAACTATTTCTAAAAAGCAACACATAAAGATCACAAATTTTTGAAGCATTTATATTTTTTCTAAAGAAAATAATGTCACTTATATATGATAAATAATGTCACTTTTATATGATAGGCAGATACCTATTCAGAACAAAAGATGCCGATATTTAAGGGAAAAAATGTTGATACCAGAATAATTTCTCCTACCTTGAGAAAAGAGAGAAAACCCACTAGAAATAATGTATCTCAAAGAATGCAACTCTGCTTTTTAGATCAACTAGAAAAAAGACGACATCGGCACAATCTGATAGAATAACTGCTAAGGACCTCTCTTTGGAAACTGGGAAAAATACTTAAAAGCAACCAACCTGACCTATGATTACTGTGCAAAACCAAAGTGAGCCTCCTGAACCATGCTGCTGGTAGGTACAATTAGATGAAGCAAGAGAACTTGCAAACAGACAGACGTATCTTTTCAGACTGTCCTCTCTCAAAAATTGTCTCTCCAGTTGAGATGAACCTTCCTTACTTTTATCCGTCATTATAATTACGTGTACACAATGTTAGCCAAAAGGGACTTTGATTAAATTCAGATTTAAATTAGGTTTATAATGAAAAGAATATTACAACTTAAAGAGTTAATATAACATGTCCATAACACAGTACTACCTATAAAAATCCACATCTGTATTCCATTATATTTGTGTTATTTGCCCACTGTTTGAACTGAATTTTTGTGCATGTTTCATCTACATTTTTATCATGCAAGCATAATTCTGCATCTTTACGAGTACAAAAATTAGTGTTTCTAGTTGCTGTAACTGATATTAATAGGCCATTTAACCACAATATGACATCTGAGTGGAATTAAGTTAGGCAACAGAAAAACATTCATGAATTTAATCTTTATTGAATGTGCAAAGATGCTTGGGTTGTGGCCACTGCTATGCAAATTTCATCCCTATCTCTCCAACAATCAACCCTTAAGATTTTGTAGAATGCCTGATGGTTTTAATTGTGTTCTTGCTCCAAATTTTTTGAGATGCTCATTTTCTTGACCATTTGCATATGTTGCCTAAACCATATTTTGAATGTAGTTTTCAGATGACAAAAGTTTTAGTGTACTTGTCCATCACCCAATGCAGACTCTCACGCTGACATTTATGTTCCAAATTCAAAAAGATACAGAGTACATTTAGACAATAGTTTTATTCCATAGCTATTCACAACAAGGTCACGGGAATATTTGAATTACACATATGAAATGGAAGAAAAGCACCTGGGCAACTGTGCATAAAGGCCCTGATTCAGGAAAGTATCTAAACATTTGTAATGGTTTTGAACCTTACCGGTGAACAGAAGCCAAAGCTAGCCAAAAAGCCACAAAACACTTGGGCTGATAAGTTTTGGGTTTGAATTTTCAAGTGAGTTTTTCTAAAAAGAAAATATTATCCTACAATCCCTTCACCCACTGGAATTCATCCTGAAATTCTGTTATCTCTTAGATTTTAATTAGGAAGTCACAGTAGATGCTGGTGATAGAATTATAGCAATGAGGGGACAACACAACACTATATTTTGCACTAAATTCCCTTGCAGAAAGGATTGCTCAAGATTTCCAAGGTCATTACCCTAAGTGAGGTCCTCCATTCATTAAATCGAACACCTGAGCTGGATTTAACGACTGTTTGAATCGACGAAGAAACTTTACTCCCTGATTGTCTCCACTCTTTGAGTTAACAAAAACTAAAAGAGGACTGGCACAGGATGGCGGGCATGTGGCTTTCCAGAAACCTGTGAACATAGTTAGAAAGAATGAAATAAATAAGGCTTTCTAATATGAACAACACAAAAAGAAATCATGGGAAAGAGGAAGAAAGGGATGAAAGACAAAAGGAGTACATTTTATCATGCATAATGTAAATGCTAAACTGAATATTAGCCCTGCAAGGAAAACATAATTGCTCAAGATTTACCAGTTCATTTTTAGCTTTCCTGTGTTTTCAGTGCCTAGATTTAGTAAAATCCTGAAGACAATAGCTTTATTGTTTTTCCACAGTGAAAAAAGTTTATTAAACTTTTAGAATACTTCTCAAATCTCATCTTCACAGATTATCACATAATTAAATATATATTTCAGTTACAAACGTTTGGTTTTTAACCTTATTTTTCTTTAACCTTACTGGGTTGAACCGGATCATCCACGTCTGTGTGAGCTTTATAAGAATACTCACAGATTTTAAAAGTTACTGTACTCAGCTGCTCTCAGGTGAGACTTTGCATGAAACCTTTTTTCTCAGACTGAAGTTATGCTACGAATTATAATAGAATCACTGAACAACAGACCTTCAGCTGTGATCCAAAGCTTATTAAAGTCAATGCAGGTCTTAACTAATTACAGCAAGCTTTCCATAAGGCCTTTAGTAAGTAGTACTAATGGACACTGTTGTCACTAACATGATCCGTCCATGGAAGTAGTGTTTTCTCAGCAGCACTTCAAAATCAGACATCACAAGTATAGGTTTTGACATTTGTTTCAGGCAATATTAGAATTACTGTGTTGTTTTCAATTACTAAAAAAATTACTAAAGCTACAAATAAAACATTTGCATTAAAGGATGCTAATTTAATTCCATATTATCATAATGTATAGTTTAAAATAAGGTTTGATTAATTTATTTAAATGCGAAGAAAAATAATTTCACATATGGAACAATCTTCCTAGCATGAATAACAAATAACAGCATGACACTCTGGTCTAAGGCACCATATAGCAAATAAATAGAGTGAGTATATACAGCATAAACAATCACTTTTACCAACTTCATACAATAAAATTCATTGAATTGTGTTAAAGTTGTTGGTCTACATTCGCCATCAACACAAACTATAAAATTAAAGCAGTTAGATTTCATGATACTCCTTATTAAATCCACTCCCTGCCTTTAAGTGCAGTCTCCCACTGCTCAGGCACCTCTATATCCTGAGCCACCAAAGAGCACCCCTGAGTTTTGAACATTTGCTGGGTTTCTATCTGTGTGTTGCACGATTCTTACACTGCTTATATTTAAAAGAAATTTAGAGAAGCTATGGAAGCAATTCTTCTCTTTAGCCTGGTAAAGTAGTTGTTGGATCTGAGCCATTCAGTGAGCTTACCACTGCATAAAGCAAAGTTACCCAAAATTTGAGAACTCACAGAATAAGTGATGCATGACAGGCAGACATCAGCCTACTTCATCTGAGGACTCTGGTCATTCACTTGAAAAGTTTCCAAGGGTCATAAATAAAACAGGAGAAAATTTCTAATGGGGGAACTTTCAAAAACATTTTTTAAATCATGTTGGTTAAATAATCCTCTAAAAAGCTACCCAGAAAATTACACTTTTCTCTAAATTTGAAGCCTGCATTCACCTTCTCAGCAGAAGGATTTTAGCCTTGTTTAGTTATACAGATCTCACTAGGCATTGCAAGTCCAGAGCTACCACTGAACACACTACAATACTACGTACCATCAGAGTCTATACTGTTTAGTGCTGTTGGAGGTATGATCGATACCTTACATTGGCCAAGTGGACATTTACGAGGATACAGATCTTTACAGGCAGTATGAACCTACAAAAGAAACAAAAAAATTATTTCCCTACAGTGGAATTTTGTGGTGAAAGTATAACTGGTACAGTATCTATGTAACAAAAATGGACTAATAAGTAACATTCAGGTCTAGAGGGAAGAGGAGTGAGACTGGAAAAAAGCCTGTATGACTGTTCCATCAAAAAGGCTTGTTACTCATTCCACAAAACATAAGTTTGGAGTAGTTCACCTTCAGCTACTGCTATAGCAGATATGAATCGTCCTTTCAAGGCAATCGCTTACCTCCATCCACGAGCAAGGGTGGACCAAGTTCCCAGCAACCAGCATCTGTGCTGGGGGCTGCAGCTACACTGTACACACACAAAAAAATAGCAATCTACATGCCTGGCCCACCTGGCTCTTCTGGAAGACGTATCTGCACTAAAGCCAGCACACCTACCAACCAGACCAACCCGCCAAAGGTGGGTCCCATAAACTATGCGTCGTAGAGGTCTCTTCCATAGTTATTGGAAAAACAGGCACAGGCAGGGGGCGCTGCACTTCACCTAAATTTCAGATCACCTCTGGAGATGCCAATCATTTCCCACTGACTACACAACAGAGCCTCGGACATCTATAAGCCAAAAGCTTCAACAATAAAAAAACTGCTGACTTTCCATTTCTACACCCTAGCTTATGAAACCCATCTTTTTAGACAAGATAAAAAAATTAAGAGAAAACTGTAAAACTTTTTGGGGAAACAGCAATAGCATGTTATAGAATTTCAATCAGCAACCTACAGAGTGTCCTAAAGGAGAGAACGTCTAGATTTTGCAGTAATAAAAATATTACTACATTAATAAATATGAATATTACTAATATTACTAAAATATTATTACAGCAAAATCTACACTGAAAGAGACAATAAAGTAACATGATTATCAGGCATATGGAACAAGCATGTGAACCTTCAGTTACCAGTTAGGAGAAGGCAGAGAAAACACATAGGATGACAACACCTGTTAAAGAAAAGCTGCATCAGTGGGCATATTAAAAATTAACTGAAGCAAGTAGGACAGTCATGAGAAATTATGAACGTTAGAGAGACCTGAGTTTGCACAAGCTGCCTGCTCCTGCTTAATCCAAAAGCACGGTTATGAAATGACAAAATAAAAACAATGGTGAGCAATAAAGCTGGCAAAATCCTAGACGCTTGGACGTGGTTCATTGCACCTACCATAGCTTTACACCAAAGGCACTTCCAATCTTGCAGGCGTAAAACACTGCCACAAGTCTTGTCGCAGACTGCGCATTTGGCACTGACGGGCAGATTACCCTCTAACCACTGGTGAGGCATAGCTATCTGTGAAGAAGTAGTCATAAAAGTTAAATACTCAGGAATAGAAATTAGAGGCTTTCGTCTCTCAAATACAGGTGGATTTAAACTATTTCCCACAGCTCTACCCTTTCATCAAAGAAGCAGGTATGGGTGACCAGTAGAAGTGACACTGACGCTCGCAAGGCAACAGCTATGAATGTGGACTGTGGTGGTGTTTCATATGCTAGGCAGAAAATGTGACAGCTGAAGAAGGGAGACACATTCATGGTACTATGGTAGCAACTAACCACAAAACAATGGGGCAGTTAGATCTAGAGGCTCCGTAATACAAATAAGTACCCATTCACTTAACGTTGACTACGTGGCACAAACCAATTAAAATAACTAAAATTCAGAAGAATAGCAGGACAGCAGAATACCTCTGTGGCTTTACGTACTCCCTCACCATGGCTGGTAAGTCACAGCTTTATGAAGAAGTCCCTAAATGCTGTGCAAAGCTTTACTCAGTGCACTCTTTGTCTCATTAATACCGTGGGCAACTCCGGACACTCATAGGTGTGCGAATTAGTACTAACCTTCCAGAAAGAAGCTTCATACAAGTGGCACATACATAGTCGTGTTTGTAAAAATAACCCATCTACCACAATAAACCTCTGAAAAGGTTTTGTCATTTCTCCTGCTAATTTTAAAATTCCTGCTTTCATCAGTAAAAACCGTCTCACACATCAGTGAATTCCAAACAGGCCTCCTGGGGAATAGCTATTGGTAAGGAGGACACAAAATAGATTGCCAAAACAGCATGGTAACAGTATAAAATACCACCTTTGCTTAAGAGCAGTAGGAACTTCTGGGAGCAATTCTCCAGCTTCAGAGTTTCTCTGCATGTGGCCTTTAAAATCTTGTAATGCAGCTTCAATCTAGTGCCCACAGATACTAAACTTGCCTTGTGAAATAGGAGTATAACTTTTGTTCTAAATACCACGTTAATCTTTGAAAAGTGTTCAGGAACCTACAATTAACTTCAATGGGTCACACGGCAATATTTCTATGCCTAGCCTTGTTTTTTTCCCTATAAAGAAGAGTGAGCTTTGGAAAATACTGTAAATATGAATAGTACTTACACCATCTTCATCTTCAATGATGTCTTTTCCAATTGAGGCTAATGTAGTCCATTTGCAGTTATTTGTTGCTCGGACAGCACATCTTTTATGTGCTTTAAACTTACACACTGGAAGGCACACATAAACATGTATACTATGTTATTTGCTGTATTTCAGTGATACATATCTTTAAAAAAATTAAACAGAGATATTCCATAAAACAGCCAAGTACATGTCACTTAGTGTTGCACACATGACACGACCCATCTAAAAGAAAATTCAGTTCATAATCACTCCAGCTTTAACTCTCTAAATGGGGTTTAACTGCTTAGCTGTAGCCCATGTTAAGTGTGTCCTCACATCCACATCAGTCCCTATTTTTTCAGCTGCAATGCAAGGTACTAAGGTACAAATATATCTTTAACTGTGTTTTTGTCTTTTCTACTCCTTCAGTGACACAACTCAGATACCTGGTTTAAATTTGCAAGAGGTGATGGGAGAGTGTTTCACAGAAGTATTTTGCTTCAGGAGCTCTGCTTCTTTGCTTAAAGGATCCCTTTTGGGCACCATACTATGCCTGTTTTCCCAGAAGCTGAGAAAGTGAAGGGTTAGATGGCGATATATTTATTCAGGATACTGCTAGATACAGTATTTTCCAAGAGGTTACATTAAGTGAGGAAGAGCCTGACTTCTTACTGGATTATTTATTAAAAATCTACTAATTGGAATACTCAGCACAAGAGTGTAGTACAGGCAGACACTTTGACAATCTAATAACTATTTGTATTTTGTTCAACTCAATTAATATGACTAGTTAATGATATCATATTAGACCAAACAGACTGATGCACCCAACTGTGGGTATTTCTGTTACTGGAAGTGCATGACATCATTCTACTTAGAGTGCATTATACAAATTATTTTGGCAAAGACCATTAAAGGTTTATGAGAACTAGCCAGCAGACCAGAAGTAGTAGTCTCTTCTCAAACAAATATTTGACAGGAAACTATCAAAAGCTTTGGCCCATTCCTTGTCCACCATTAAAAACATTAAGCCATGGTACAAAAGGTCTTGTGAATCATAAAGTTCTCATTTTAATTCCACTGATACATTGCCAGATCAATTTAAAAAGTGAATTGAGACTATGTAAGCAACATCTGAGTTTCAGAGCAATCCTCCCTGTTCTGGGAGATGTGTGAAAGTATGGGCTTAGCTCAAAGAAAGAGAAGGAAACAGAAAAAAAGAGTTTTGTTGCTTTTACAGTAACTCAGGTGGTCATTTCGAAAAGGAGCATTCATAGACTCAAAGTCTGCAAATATCCCATATTCCTCAACTAACAGGGTAGGCTCTCATTTTCAAAACAGCTCAGCACCATATTGTGTGTTTGCCAACCTAAGCTGGTTCCAAGCGTCTAAAGAAGTCAGCTCTCACAGAAGCACAGAAATAAAGGCTGCATTTTCAAGTGATGGGCCTTACGCAGTTTTGCCACTTGAATGTTTTGGAGAAGATATGCCACGGAATTCAGCTTCCTACTCATAAGTGATATGCATTTGTCTTTGCCACACAGATCAAAATACAATAAATCAGGGATGAGGGGCAATAGGAAATTCCAAATTATGAAGGCATAACAAAGTAAGGGAATTTTCAAATCCTATTGAGCTACGATTCAACTAGATCTCAGGACCCTGTATTCAATCTCTGCTCTCTCAACAAGGCAAACACAAATTCAAACCCAGGGTCTGAAGAGCTGCAGCAAGCCACACCACGGATGGCAAGTGACAGCTAATGTTTGCTTTGTGGGTACAGTATATAACTTAACAAATCTCAGATCAGACTTTCTGGTCTCAGATCAGACTTTCTGTAGGTCACCCCCCTGCAATCCCAATATCATCAAACAACAATTCATGTTACTCTGAGCATTAAACATTACCATAAACAATGACCTTAAGACACAAATGTCACTTTTGAGCAAAATACATAGCAGTACAGAAGAGACAGGTATAGAAAGGAAAATTTTAATCAAATCTCAACCTCAGCTACCACTACCCCCTAATTTCTTTTGTCTCAGATGACACTGCATCCCATTCATGAATCAGTCTGATATCTGAAATCTTTAGGAAACATGCAGATGTACTGCTAGACATCAATTGTCATTAATTCGCCAATGAAAGTTAAAAGATGAGAAAAGGAAAAATTTAGCCAAACCAAATCTAGAATATTCATAGAACATTACTTTAAATTTTAATTTCCTGTCTAAATGTTTCTAGCGGGAATATGAAGCAGGTCTCTCAGAAAGCAAACCAAGAGAACCACTTAATTAGCAAACAGTTGTCACAGTGGTACCAACATCTGCTGTCATTCACAGTGATTAAATCTAGAGCTATTATTATCTATAATGAAGAAAAGTCAACATTACTGAACATTATCATAGGATGTCTTGCACTGAAAATACACCCCTTTGTTACAGAACACTTCTGTCTCAAAGGCCTTTCATTCTAACCACCCATCAATTAATTCAACTACACTGGCAGGACACTGAATTTTTTTCCCCCAAACTTACCGCTCTACCACCTATTTTATGATGAGCTTTCTCTTCTGCGTTCTTCAAAGAAGAACTGGCTCAGACTGTTCTTTTCCAACTTCAAAGGCCAAAGCCAAAGTTTTGAAACTGATCAGAAGATCCCTGAGCTGGTATCTATAGATTAGATGGAATTATCTATAGATTGTCAAGATGGAAGGATCTGTCTTCAGGTATTCCAAGAAACCTGCTGTTTTGTTTCCAAGAATACTATCACATGACAGATGGACAAGCCACAGTAAAAGCAGTGCAATTCACATGAAAACAGCAACCTAACTTTACCCCAATTTGAAGCTTATGTCTATGTTACAAAGGATAAAATTCAGCAGTTTCTTGGTAGTTTTTTACTATTTTGTCCTGGTTTCGGCTGGGATAGAGTTAATTTTCTT